TGAATATGCTAGGATGATTCACGTCCTAGGTGGGACAGAGAGGGATGACATGAGATTTAAAACTTATGAACTGTTTACTTCTGGAATTTTCCACTTAATATTTTTGGACCACAGTTGACTATAGGTAACTTAAACTGCAGAAAGGTAAACTGCAGATAAAGGGTATTAGTGTATAAGAAAAGACTACTTCATTATATACTGGATTCTTAATGACTTTTGATCTATATTGGCACTGTCCAAAACAGTAACCACTTTTCTGGTTGCACTGGACATATTTCAAGTGCTCAACAGCCACCTGTTGCTGTCAGCCACTGTATTAGGCAGTATAGATACAGAACACTTCCAACTTCACAGAAAGATCTACTACATTGATAAGGAGTCTGGGAGGCCAAATGATATGATAACTAAATGTCAAAGAGTTGTACAGACTTCAATATTGATTCTTAGGAAGTCAAGATTGCTGAAAAAAAAAATGTATGCAAAATGTCTAGAACAGTGTTTGGTATACAGTAAATATCTGATAAACATTAGCTCTCTTCTAACATGGTTGGATAATTTATTAATCTTACTATCCTACTTATTCAAAAGACCAATGAGTTCCACGTTGTTAAATTCAATGAAAAATCTTTTAGCTCTTACTTTAACCAACTCTCATCAACAATGACCCTATTGACTACTCTCCACTTGAAAAACAGGCATATCTCAGAGACACTGTGGGTATGGTTCCAAACCATAGCAATAAAGCAAGTCGTAATCTTTTTGCTGGTGTAGGGTCTTTCCTTCAATTTTTAAGAAACAACTGTGAAGCACAATGAAGCAAAGCACAATAAAATGAGATATGCCTATACTCTATCCCTCCGTTTCTGTAATGCCACACTCCTCTCCTATTTCTGACTTTCCCAGTATTCTTTAGGAGCTCATATTCCTCCAGCAAATATTTTTTTTAAAAGTTAAAGACCATTATGATTTCATTCTAGCACCTTTTTTTCCTAAGTTATATTACCTTCCCTAGGCAATTCAATCTATAGCTTTAATTACCTATGTAAGTGACTCCAACTTTCTATTCCCATAACATACCTCTCTTCTGGATTTTAAAACAATATATCTAATTGCCTACAGACATTTCCACCTGAAAGTTCCAAAGGTATGATCAAACCCAATGTCAGAATCAAAAGAACCATGGTTCTTATAAGGTACCACCATCAACCCCACTGTTTAACTGAGAAGCCATCTCTGAAAGTTTTCTCTTCTTCAGTCCGTGAACTGAGGCCTACTAATCACAAATCCCATTTACTGTTGCCCATCTCCACATTTCTCACCCTAATTCAAGCTATTCTCATCTCTTCCGGACTACTACAGCAAAGCCTTCACTAATTTTCCCACATCCACTCTTACTGCCTCTCCTCCCTTTTAATACACCTCACTGCCATAGTAGTTCTGCCTTCTGAGGCTATCAAAATTCAGTCTAGTTGGCCTCTGAATGACAACATTTTAAACAGTAAAACAGACCACCCTAAGCTAAATGTTCTAGTTCTTTCTATACTGACAAATCTGTTTCAAGGTCACATTCTCGCATACTCCCCTCTAAAAATGTGGGCCCTTCCACTAAACATAATGCATGGGTAGAAGTAACTTAGCACTTTATGTAAAAACAGATTTGCATATTCTAAAGTTTCAAACCATCATTATGATTTTTAATGTTTTTAAAATGTTTCCAGCTGAAAGATGGAATCCACTAAATACATATATACCTGCTATGAGTCTGGTGTTGCTCAGGCCAAAATAGTAACCAAAACTGACAAACCCTATCCTCACAGAACTTGCATTAGAGTGAAGAAGAAATACAATAAACTTAATAAAGTTAGTAAAGTTAGTTAGAATACAATAAAGTTAGTTAGTTAGGTACAATAAAGTTAGTAAATTATACAATATGTTGGAAAGTGATAGATGCCATGGAGAAATATCTAGATTTAAAAGGGTTAGGAAATGTGGGAAGACTACTTGCTATTTTATAGATAGTAGTCAGAGGAAACCTCAGTAGCAGAGAAGTGTGGTTGGAGAAAGAGTGAGATAATGAAGTCAGAGAGGAAGAAAAGGCTCAAAATATCTGGAGCCTGGTGGACCATAATAAAGACTATGAATTTTACCAGGGAAGCCATTTGAGAAGTGACATGATCTGATAAATTTTAACAGGATCACTCTGGCTGTTGAGACTGTAAGTGAACAAAGGTCAGTGAAACTTTTTAGGAAGCCATTTTGCAAGTGAGAGATGCTGATGGTGTTTTCACATTTTATATTAAGCCTTTATGTGCCTAAGTGCTAGGCACATAAAGAAGGAAGGAAGGAAGGAAGGAAGGAGAGAGAGAGAGAGAGAGAGAGAGAGAGAAAGAAAGAAAGAAAGAAAGAAAGAAAGAAAGAAAGAAAGAAAGAAAGAAAGAAAGAAAGAAGAGAGAAAGAGAGAGAGAGGGAGGGAGGGAGGGAAGAAAATACTATGAGAACAATGCAAAGATGAGTTCTTGGAAACAGCAACAGAGATACTGGGTATTTTAACTCTGGGCTCTACTCTGTGCTACTAACAGTTATCACCATTCAGATGCAAGATAAGGTACAAGACTAGTAATGTATTCCTTGGGACACAGGACATAATTAAAAATTCAGGCTTTAAGCTTATTTCACAAGTCAAGATCCAATTTACATCACTGAAAGAAAGACAAGGGTGAGGATGGCAGAGCCTGCTAAAAGAAAAAGTTACAATGATTATTCTAGGGATGGATGACTTTTTATCACTTTTATGCCTGCCACTCTCTTTAGTTAGGTTTAACAACTATCTCTCACTGATATTATCTAAAAAGTTCAGTATTAAGTTGATGAGTACTATAACATTACACATTATTACCAAAAGATGCTACAGATGATGAATGAACAATATCATATAATGGCACTAATTCATCCTTTCTCTGCTAATTACCAATACAGCTTTTCAAGAAAATTGCCTAAGCACTGATGGATGGGGAAGTCAGTGACTCCTGAAGAGTGTCATTCACTTTTAGCCCATGGACCACCAAAAGACATACAAAAGAATTTCCCTTGAAAAATTTTCCCCACACATTTCAGGCAGCATATTTATGAGTATATTTTTATTCTACAGTTTTCTTCCTCCTTGACATACTGAAGAATGTCTTCACAGCATGAGTGCACAAAAAGTTAAGTAGACACCCAAATCTTGCCTAAATCTCAAAATGTACTCAAATTCCCAGGCAAAAAGGTCACTATTTGAATGTAAAACAGAGTGATTAGTATACTTGTAAGCACCCCCCCCCCAAAAAAAAGCAGTGAAAAAGCACGGCAATAGTAAGAATTGCTAATTTTTAAAAAATAACTCAGTGCATAAACAATACAAAGTAAACTCAGATTATATTTGGTACGACGGTATAAAACAAAAAAATCCAAAGACAATTTCAAAATTTCATTTCTTCCGCCCAATAAGTTAAAACAACAAAAACAAAAGTCCCACAAACTTTTTGCTCCAGCTGTAAATCAATAGTAAAAAAGTGAGATGATGAAGCCAAAGCCAAAGAAACAAGAAAGAGAAAGCAATGGTCTGGAAAGAAACTTGATTACACATCACAATTTTAGTACAATTACCAGTAAAATACAAAAACCACCTGTTATCTAAAGATGTTTTGCCCTCACCCTGACTGGTGTAGTTCAGTGAATTGAGCGCCGGCTTCTCAACCAAAGGACCACCAAATCGATTCCCAGTCAGGGCACATGCCTGGGTTGTGGGCCAGGTCCCCAGTAGGGGGCCGGCGAGAGGCAACCACACATTGATGTTTCTCTCCCTCTTTCTCCCTCCCTTCCTCCTCTCTAAAGAAGTAAATACTTAAAAAAAATCTTTTGCCCTCAATATTCTGCTACCGTCCTAAATAGTCTTTTGCATCAATTAACCTTTTAAAAATACATTTTAATATTTTTCCAAAATTCAGCGAAAATCCCCAACCTGAGAAAATTTAAGATAAGCGTCTACTAGCCAAACCATTACATTAAAAACTTTTTGATCATTTTTGCTTAAATATCTCAGTTCACTGGGAGTATGATAAAGATGTTAGGTAAAATGTAATCCAAAATGAATGAAAAATGCTCAACTCACAGACACGGTATGTAATCCGGTACAGAAATATACTGGGGGGGGGGGGAGTATTTTAAAATGCAACATTTCAGTCTGTGAATGGTTTAAGCAACCACTCTAAATCAGGTGTTTACTTTTAAAACAAGTTTTCAAAATGTGTGTATGTAGGTGACAAGCCCGCCAGCAAAATGAATGTTTCTGATGGTTCAAAATCCCTGTCTGAGGAGGGGAGACTGAAGTTTAGATCTACTGGCCCTTTTGTTGTCAACCCAGGAAAGGGGTTTAAACTTCGGGAGTGCGAATAGTTTGAAATCCAGGGCATGGGGTCAATGCTGATGTTTAGCAGCAAGCGCCCCATTCCTGCGCTACGAGAGGTCACGACGTAGTAAAGTTTGGTTTCACGGGCGGGCTCGGACGCAATTGACAAAAGCAGTCTCCCCAATAAAGCGGACACAAGGGTTGGGGAGCTCCCGGAAGCCCAGCAGGTCACGTTTCCACCGCAGGGAGGGGCTGTGTGTGTGGGCACTCGGTGGAGTCTCCTTCCTGAGCAGCCCCCAGCCCCCATCCCGCACCCGGGCGGCGACAGGCTTCGCCGGCAGAGGCGGGTAGGCCACAAGGAGGAAATGGGACAGGGTGCCGAAAGTGAGGCCGCGGCGGCCTGAGCGGGGCCTCCCTGGCCGGGTAGAAGAGCCCTTCCCGCCGCTGCTTCCCCCGCCTCCAGAAGCAGCTCCAACTTTCCTCCCAGCGCAGGACGCGGCTTGGGCCACGCAATTCCGAAACTTTGTCCGCCCTCCAGTCGCCAACCTGGAAGCCCCACCTCGCCCCGACAGCTGCGCGAGCCCATCCACCCCCGAGGTCGGCCCGTGTTTACCTCAGGCCGAGGTCGAGGCTCTTGCTCCAGCAGTGGCCCCGCCGTAAGTCCCTAGGTCCCCGTCACGCCACCACCAAGTTCCCCAACATGGAGTCCTTCGTCCGTTCTGAGGTGTTCCGGGGCTGCCGGGGCGCCAGCTCTGCCGCCGGGTGGGAAGGCGGCGGCGGTGTGGGGAGCGGACCCAGGCTCTGCTGCTCCGCGCGCCGCTTGCGCCACCGCTGATACCCCTCCCCCCCGCCTCGTCTGGTCTCCTCCCTCCCCTTGGGCCTCCTCCTCCTCCCCTCACGTTCCCTCTTCCCCTCCCTCCCTCCTTTCCTCAGCTGCGCCGCCTGTAGCCTACACGCTAGAGGCAGCCAAACAGCCACGGCGGCGTTGGCTGCAGCACCCTCCGCACTCCCGTACTCGCTTGTTGTGGTCCGGAGTGTACCACTGCAGAGCTAGACCGGACCGCTGGGGGGCGCAGGCAAACCACCACCGTTTGCGACAGAGGAACGTGGTGGGCGGGGTCACGTCATGCCTGTGGGCGGGAGCGGGAGGAGCCGGAGGGAGAAAGGCAGCCAGTGGCGAGGACTTCTGGGAAACATTCTCCCAGTCCAGCCCTCCTCCTGCAAACTGCGGGAGGTGCTCTGGCGCCTTGGCGTGGAGTGCTGGAGTAGGTGCTGCTTGGGAGGTCCAGAATAGAAGTTGGAGACAAACCAGAAGGCTCTTGAGGACCTGGATGTGAGGAAGTTTGTGCAACATTTGCTATCCTATTTTTATCGTTATCTGTTATTAAAAGAGTATTAATAGGTTGTTTGTCAATGGATTGAGTTTTCACCCAGCAGTGTTGCCCATCCAAAATACGTCAGGTGGAGAGTTCGAAGTGTCCATAACTTGTGAGCCTACATCGATCTTCCTTCCTGGTGGGCATTTAAAAAATTCCCAAGTGGAGGCTAGATAATGACACACGATTATTCATTCAGTAATTTGTCAGAGCCTGTGACATGGAACATGTGTACCCTTATCAATTGCTCCCCCCCACACCCACACAGGGGTCTTGAAAGGACAAAGTCAGCCCCATTTGCTATTGTGGCACCATTTGCCTAGCAGGCCTATGACCTTGTTAAACATGACTGCCATTTTATTCTGAACTTATGTCCCGGGGACTGGAAATTACTGGGAAACAAGAACAGGTCTAACCACTCCCTATAGCCACAGGCAGAAAATAACGTTGGAACAAACAGTGATGTTCTGTTACAATGCCCCAACAGACCAGGGGCCACACAACAGTAACCCCCCACTGTTTTTTGATAGAGTTATAACCCAATAAAAGCTCAAACCTCCAACCCTCAATGCTAGTGTATCCCTCCACACCATGCCCCTCTCTTTCTTGGAGAGGGAATAAAAACTTTATTCTCTACACCTTCTTCTCTTTGTGAATTCTTTCACAGCCCCCGTCACCAACCATGCTAACATTTTGGTGGCCCATACAGAGACATTCTCTATTTCTCCCTCTTCCTTCAGCCTCCTGAGATTTGCGACTAGGGTAGCAGTGGGCAGCAGAAACTCAACCCAGGCTAACCCCCTAACCCTGTCTGTGAGGTTCAGAGAGAAAATTCCAATACTCTGTCTCTCCAGACTCTGCAGACAGCCTCTTCACCCATCTTCATAGCCAGCAATCAGTAAGTCTCTCTGAATCTCAGGATGAAAACATCCTATCGAAGTTGATAGCTTATCCCCTTGTCTCATTGTCATAAACCCCAGTACCATGTCTATCATGTTCACAAGGTTTCAGCTGGGAGAGACCCCTCCAACCGTCTCCCTGCTGGTTTGTTCTGCTCTTGGGGCCCAGGGACACCTGGCTCTAAGGCAGAAACTTAGAGTGTTGGGTCTGCCCTCAGATTTGAGGATGCTCAGCTCTGGCTGCAGACCTCCAGGTCACTTGAGTTGGGAATGCCCTTCTCAAACTTCTCCCCCTTTGCTTGTTCTTGTCTCTGAGATGTCCTTGCCTTTTCTTTTTGTAGTTCTTGCCATGGGAAATACTCAATCGATCCCACCCCAGGACTCCCCACTGGGATGTCTGCTAAAGAACTTGAAGGCTCTGGGACTTACCAACCTCAAGCCTAAGCATTTGGTTTTCTATTGCAACATAGCCTAGCCTCAATACAAACTGGGTGACCAGAAAGTCTGGTCCATGAATAGATCTCTTAATCATAATACTATCCTCCAACTTGACCTGTACTGTTGTCGCTCTGAGAAATGGCCCGAGGTTCCTTACATTCAGGCTTTTTTCAAATTCTCTCACCATCCTGATCTCTGTGCCTCCTCTCGTATGTTCTTATGTACATTACGTGCATCTACTTCCCTTTCTCCTTCACCTTCCCAAGATTCTAAAGATCTCCCCCTCTCTGCACCTCCTCCTCCATATCCCCTGTCATGTGACTCTTCAGCACCCCTACCAGCTCCTCTCCCTACTTCTCAGACCTACCTTCCTGCCCCCACTTAAGACTGGGTCACTCCCGGCCATACCCGTTCAGGTTATCTCAGGAACCTCCGAAGCCTGGAACCCAGTTCCCTCTCCATGGGGTTGCTGGATCAGAGGGCATTATTCAGGCCCAGGCTCCGTTTTCAATATCAGACCTCCCCCAAATTGAGGTCAGACTTGGCAGTTTTTTGGCAAACCCAGCTAAGTTTACAAAGGAGTTTGAATATCTCACTCTCTCCTATGACTTCTCCTGGAGAGATATTCATATCTTTTCTGTGTGTATGAATTCAGGAGAGAGAAGCCATATTTGGGCCGAGGCACAGAGGTATGGGGATGACATAAATCAGAGACAGCCTAATTCTTAGGCCCCTGGTGCTACAACCATCCCGGACCAGGACCTCGATTGGGACTACCAAACTAAGTCCCCTGACCTCAGTAAACAGGATCACATGCTCTCGGGCCCCATAGAGGGAATGAAGCAGGCCACTACCAAGCCTGTTAACTAAGACAAGGTTAAAGAAATCACTCAAGGGCCAGATGAGAGTCCTGCTATTTTCCTCTCTAGCCTCTCAGAGATCTCCTTAACAACAGAGCCTGTCACTTCCTCACCAATAACCATAACACTCAATACTAGACCTTATTCTGAAACAATCTCTCTCTCAAGGTCTCAACCTGCATGGTCCTAAACCCAGCCACTGTGCTTCCAGGACCTCAGCATTCTTTTCTTAAGCATTCCTGCACAGATGTCCTTGAACATTCCCTCGCAATCTGTGCTGACCTTTTGGATACTCCTCTGTCATAACCAGAGCATAACTGGTTCATAGACAGGAGCAGCTACAGTCCTGATGGGCAGAGGAGAGCAGGATATGCAATAGTTACTACCACTCACAGGGTTGAGTGCTCTCCATTACCACCCAACACCTCAGCTCAAAAAGCTGCACTAATCGCCTTTATAAGGGCTCTACAACTAAGAAAAGACCTAAAAATCAACATTTACACCGACCCTAAATATGCCTACCACATTCTCCATCCACACACAGCTACCTGAAAAGAATGAGGCCTCCTAACCACTCGAGAATCCTCTATTAAGTATGGCAGTCTAATCTCAGAACTAATACAAGCAGCACAATTACCTACCTAAGGGGCCATTTTTCACGGTAAGGCCCACCAGCAAACCCAATCTGTTGGGGCCTTGGGAAACCACAGGGCTGATTAAGAGGCAAAACTGGCAGCCTCTTTACCATCCCCAGCAACAAAGTGCTATTCCTACCCTCACGACCAGACCAGACACCCAGGTACTCTCCTGAGGAAATCGCACAATATACCAAATTAGGGGCCACCAGGAAGGGACCTTGGCTTCTACATGGGGGACAGTGTACTCTTCCCCAACTTCAGGAAACCTCCATGTTACGAGATCTCCACAATCCCCTTTATATTGTCAGTAGACTCCTACAGGTACTTCCCTCTCCCCTCTTACATTCAAAACAATTAGAAAGCAAGCTAAGAAACATCACTAGGGACAGTTTCATCTGTCATCAGATCAGTCCACAGGGCCACCTCAGGCCCCCTCCCTCTCTACCCATGCACCAACCGTGGGGACATTCACCAAGGCAGGTCTGGCAAGTAGATTTCACCCACATGACAAACACAAATACCTTCTCACTATCACTGACACTTTCTCAGGATGGATAAAAGTCTTCCCTGTCACCACTTAACAGGACTCAGAAGTCACTAGAGTCTTCTCCAGGGTATAATTCCCAGGCTTGGACCACTGACCTCACTCCAAAGTGACAATGATCCAGCCTTTACTTCCCAAATCACACAACAAATCTCCCAAGCTCTGAGCATCTATTATAAGCTATATGTAGCCTGGCACCCCCAGTCCTCTGGAAAGCTTGAAAAGGCACACTGTACCCTTAAACAACAGCTCACCAAACTCTCACTAGAACTCATTAAAGCTGGATAGAACTCCTGTGTTATTTGCATCACCCCCAAAGCTCCTCTCTTTATGAGCTCCTTTGAGCTCATGTACAGCCATCCTGCACTTTTATCCCCCTTTCCATCCATTTCACCTCCAGCCTTAGGCAACAATCTTCCAGCACTGGAATTAGCCAGACATCTCCTCTGCCAGTATGCAGACACCTATTTGCCGCAACCTACCAAAGTACCCCCCAATGAACACTTACAGCCTAGAGATTGGGTTTCATTAAAGGACCTCCCTGGACAAACTAAATCCCTCCACCTCCCTGGAAGGGCCTCTTTCAAGGAATTCTCACCACTCCCTCGGCAGCAAAGCTCTCAGAATTTCCATCATGAATACATCTCTCCCGACTCAAACCCACTGACCTGCCTAAGAACTCTCCACAGGAGGAACTGCCTTTGGACTCCACTCTTCCCTCCTATGCCTACCAGCCAATTTCAGATACCAGGCTCCAACTCACCAAAGTCCAGCTGGTGGACACATGAGTCCCAGAAAGCATGTGACATGATCTGGTACTACCGGGTAACTCCCCTTCTTTGACAACTCCACGCCAGTCCTGCCAAGAGATCTCCTCTGTCCTTGCTGGAAACTCTAGTTTTACTCCTCCTAATTATTTTTCCTTTGGGAAATGCTCTCTTGCAACACCCTTACCTACCTACAGTCCAGGAAGCCCTTAGTTTTTTAAACAATAAGACTACTCAGCCCTACAAGAACTGTTGGATCTGGCCCAACACCTTTCCTAAAGCAGGACAAGTAGTAATTCCTATCGCTGCTTCAGAATGGAGTCAATTAGAGACCTATCCAGCCCCCACCTATTTCAGTCAACCCAGATGGACT